CCAGGCTTGGCTAACGTCACAGTTTTAGCATTACAATCCAAGATTGCAAAATTTGGAGAAAGCCAAGTCATACCCAGAATTACATCGAAGTCAACCATTTCTTGAAAGGATTTTGCCGTAGCCGCTACCTGTAAGGCCGAAATCCGTAATTCTGACCTCAACCCCTTCACAAAACGGCAAATTCCGCTCTTGTGGACTGAAACAAAGTTGGGTGGCATACCTTGATAATGCACGAAACTTAGCCTCATATGCAGTAACCGACATCCTACCTTGCTCTAGGCTCAAGAACTCATCTCTTTTCCTATCCCTCAAAGTCCGGGGGATATACTTCTCGATAAACAAGCTAGAGAATGAGGCCCAAGTCATAGGTGGTGCCTCTGTTGGTTGACGCTCAACATGTGACCGCCACCACATTTTGGCGTTCCCTTGAAACTGATAACTCACGAACTCAACACCAAACCATTCTACTATACCCATCTTGTGTAGTAGCTCAGGACATTCAACCAGAAAATCGTAAGCATCCTCAGATTCAGCACCCTTGAAGACTGGAGGTTTCAATTTCAAGAACTTACTGGAAAGTTCATGCTGATCATTTGTCATTACAGGCCTAGTAGTCAGACGTGGAAACGTGCCTATGTCCAATGAGGCATCCATACGAGGAGCCATAGTGGCTGCATGTTGTACCTCTGAAACCGGAGGTGTTGGTGTAGAAAACACTGGAGGTGCCTGACCCTGATTAGACAACCCACTAAGATAAGCGAGAACCTATTTGATCATCTCTGGGGTAGGTTGGGGTGGCAATTCCTCATTTTACACTTGTTCATTCTCCCCTTCCTCACCCTCTCTTACTACTTCCTCAGTCGGTGGAGGAGTCACCACCCTAGTATCAGATGGGCTAGGTGCTCGTGCCCTTCCTCTAGAGGACGTCCTCCCACGACCTCTACCACGGCCTCTTGCCGTTGCTCTTCCTCCAGCCACAGCCCCAGTGGCTGGCTCAGTTATATCCTGCATTGCTGGTGTTGGTGTTGGCGTAGTCGTTGCTCTAGTTCTAACCATCTGCGAAAGAGAGTGGAGATGGTCAGATACCAATTTGTATCACCTAGATGCCAATCGAATTCAAGTAGTAGCACGAAAGAAAGAAAGAAAGAATGGAATTTTCCTAAAGTCTCATAGCCTCTCAAAGAAAAGTAAAGGCGTCCCCCTACCGTTCCTTAAGACTCTACTAGACTCGTTCTTGTGTGATGAGACCAACGAACCTAATGCTCTGATACCAAGTTTGTCATGACCCAAATCGGGCCGCGACTGGCACCCACACTTACCCTCCTGTGTGAGCGAACCAACCAAATCTAAACCTTAACATTTCAATGTACTATCAACATAAAGTAATGCGGAAGACTTAAACTCATTAATAAAACCAATTCAATAACTATTATTTCCCAAAATCTAGAAGTCATCATCACAAGAACATCTACTTCAAATTACTAAATCTAAGAATTTCTAAGAAGCTAAAAATACATAAAAGCTAGTCCATGCCGGAACTTCAAGGCATAAAGACATGAAGAGGAAGATCCAGTCCAAGCTAGAAGCATTAGCTCACCCTGATATCCGGAGTAATGAAGACTGGCTAGAGTTACTGTTGAGTCGAAGATGACGGCACGTTTGCTGCACTCCACAATTAAACAAGAAGAAAACATAAAAGTAGGGGTCAGTACAAAACACGGGTACTGAGTAGATATCATCAGCCAACTCAAAATAGAAAATAGTATATACCAAGTAACATCATAAAATCAACTAATATCCTTAGCATGCAGCATTTACAATTACCATAACCCTTGGTTACAACACCAAGCTCATCAATGAGGACTCACGCCTCCTCATCATACTCATTTGGGATTTAGGTTCATTAGATTGAGTATATTAACATCTTTCAAGATTCATTATCTTTATTTCTCTCGTGTCGGTACGTGACACTCCGCTCCTCATATACTATCCTGGTGTCGGAATGTGACACTCCGATCCTCATATACTATGCTGGTACCGGAACGTGGCACCCGATCCATATTCTATCCTGGTGTCGGAACGTGACACTCCGATCCTCATATACAATCCTGGTACCGGAACGTGGCACCCGATCCATATTCTATCCTGGTGTCGGAACGTGACACTCCGATCCTCATATACTATCTTGGTACCGGAACCTGGCACCCGATCCATATTCTATCCTGGTGTTGGAACGTGACACTCTGATCCTCATATACTATTTTGGTACCGGAACGTGGCACCCGATCCCCTAATCTCCTTCTATCAATTCATCAAGCCTTCTTTCTTACCAAGGCATCATCAATCTCATTATTTTAGTTCATCACGCCTTCTTTTATACCAAGGCCTCATCATTAACAAAGAGATTAGGGTTTTTCAAGATTTGGGATTCAATAACTTCATCATGCTTATATAATCACAATTATATAATTACATTCATGCAAGCATACAATTAAGCACATAGCAGGGTTTACAATATTATCAATACATATCATTCGCTATTAAGAGTTTACTACGAATAGTATAAAAACCATAACCTACCTCCACCGAAGATTAGTGATCAAGCAAGCAACTTTCCCAAATCTTTGTGTTTTTCCCCTTCTCGAGCGTCTCTCTCTATCGATTCCCTTCTCTCTCTTTCTATTTTTCTTATTCAAACCCTCTTTCTTTTACCCTAATTAACATGTAATTAAGTGTAAAAGATGACAATAATAACCCACAATTTAACTCAAGGTTACCTCTTTTATCCCCCAAGAAATTGAGTTATTAATATAAACTCACGAAATATGTAATTATAGTAGAAATAGTCCAAAACGGCCCTTTAAAACTTAACCAGAAATCCGACTCCGACTGGGATTATGCAACCTGTGACGGCCCGTCGCGCCTGTGGCGGCCCGTCGCGCTTGCGACGGTCTATCATGTAGGTTCGTCAGAAACTCGATTTCCTTAAGAAGTCTGTGACGGTCCGTCGTACCTACGATGGTCCATCCTGCACTTCCGTCACGACGTTCAGGGAATTGTTCCATGTACCAAATTCTCAAGAGTTGAAGTGTTTTGAAATGGCGCATCACGACGGTTCGTCATGCCTGTGACGGTCCGTCCTGCAGGTCCGTCACAGAGTTCAGAGAGTCGATTCTCAGTATCCAATTTTCAGAATTTCTAAGTGTTTTAAAATGAGACCCCTCGACGGTCCGTCGTGTCCATGACGGTCCGTCGTGGGTTCCGTCATCTCAGCCTGTTTTTCCAGAAATAAAATCTGCTGCTCAAAACGACTAAACAGGTCGTTACAGTGAAACAGAGGTGTTTAATTTGGGAACTCCCGAAGAAGTGAAAGAAATAAAGATAGGCATTCATGTCGATCGAACTATTCGAGACGACATAATTCAAGTTTTAATTGAATACAAAGATGTCTTTGCTTGGTCATATGATGACATGCCTGGGTTAAGTGCTGATTTGGTAGTTCACAAACTTCCCATACATCCTGATTTTCCACCTGTCCAGCAAAAGCAGATAAAATTTAAGGCAGATATGAGCGATAAAATCAAAGAGGAAATCATGAAACAACTGAATGCAAAAGTGATTAGGGTCGTCCAATAAACTACTTGGTTGGCTAATGTTGTGCCAGTACCAAAAAAGGATGGAAAGATTAGAGTTTGTGTTGATTATCGAGATTTAAAGAAAGCAAGTCCAAAAGACAATTTTCCACTACCCAACATTCATATCTTGGTTGAAAATTGTGCTAAACACGAGATTCAATCTTTTGTGGACTGCTACGCCGGATATCACCAAATTCTCATGGATGAAAAAGACGCTGAAAAAACTGCTTTCACTACCCCGTGGGGTACATATTGTTATAGGGTCATGCCATTTGATCTAAAAAATGCAGGGGCAACCTACATGAGAGCTATGACTACAATATTCCATGACATGATGCATAAAGAAGTTGAGGTGTATGTCGATGATGTCATCATTAAGTCTAGAACGCAAATTGACCATGTGCGTGATCTAAGAAAATTTTTCGAAAGATTGAGAAAGTACAATCTCAAGCTTAATCCGGCTAAATGTGCATTTGGAGTTCCATCTGGCAAGGTTTTGGGTTTTATAGTTAGCCGAAGAGGCATTGAATTAGACCCCTCCAAGATAAAGTCCATTCGAGAATTGCCACCTCCAAAAACCAGAACTGAAGTCATGAGTTTTCTGGGAAGGTTAAACTATATCAGCCGATTCATCGCTCAACTCACTACTACATGCAAGCCGATATTCAAGTTATTGAAAAAAGATGCTGCTATTAAATGGACAAGTGAGTGTCAAAATGCTTTTGACAAGATCAATGAATATTTAGCAAATCCTCCGGTACTGGTCCCCCCAGAGCCTGGTAGGCCTTTGTTTTTTTACCTCTCGGTAACGGATAATTCTTTTGGTTGCGTTCTAGGAAACATGACGTCACAGGAAAAAAGGAACAAGCCATCTATTACTTGAGCAAAAAGTTCACATCCTATGAGGCAAAGTACACTCTATTAGAAAAAACATGTTGTGCTTTAACTTGGGTCGCCCAAAAATTGAAGCACTATTTTTTGTCCCATACCACTTACCTCATATCTCCAATGGATCCTTTGAAATATATTTTTCAAAAAGCCATGCCGACGGGTAGGTTTGCAAAATGGCAGATTTTGCTTACCGAATTTGATTTTGTGTATGTTACTCGCACCGCCATGAAAACACAAGCGTTGGCCGATCATCTGGCAGAGAATCCGATTGATGATGAATACGAACCCTTAAAGACATACTTCCCTGATGAAGAGATCAACTCTATTGAGGAAGAAATTCCTTATAATGACCCCGTATGGAAATTATATTTTGATGGGGCTGTCAACAAAAACGGAGTGGAAATTGAGGCAGTTCTTATCTCACCAAGCGGTTGTCATTATCCTGCCACAGCACGACTTTGATTCTTTTCTACTAACAACACAACAGAATATGAAGCTTGCATCATGGGTTTGAATATGGAAATAAATCTGGATGTACATGAGCTCTTAGTCTTAGGGGATTCCGACTTGCTCATTCGACAAGCTCGAGGCAAATGGGAAACTCGAGACATTAAGCTCATACCGTACAAACAATATTTAGAAGATCTCATCAAAAATTTCAAGTCCATTGAATTTAGATATATTCCCAGGTTTCACAATGAGTTGGTTGATGCTTTGGCCACCCTAGCATCGATGCTTCCATACCCATGTAATACATACATTGACCCGTTGGAAATCCAAGTTAGGGATCAACATGGTTATTGCAATATAATTGCGGTAGAGGCAAATGGTGAGCCTTGGTATCACGACATCAAACAGTTTATAAAAGCTAGAGAATATCCACTGCATACTGATAGAGATCAAAAAAGAACTATTAGGCGACTCGCCAATGGGTTCCTCTTAAGTGGAGATATCTTATATAAAAGGACTCCGGATTTGAGTTTATTACGATGTGTGGATAATCAAGAAGCAGAAACAATTATGAATGAGGTACACTCAGGGGTATGTGGCCCACACATGAATGGTTAGGTCCTAGCAAAAAAAATTATTCGGGCAGGGTACTATTGGTTGACCATGGAGCGAGATTGCTTCCAATTTATTCGCAAGTGCCATCAGTGCCAAATTCATAGCGACTTGATTCACTCACCCCCTTTATAGTTGCATCCTATGTCTGCTCCATGGCCTTTCATTACATGGGGAATAGATGTTATTGGGCCAATAGAGCCAAAAGCATCTAACGGTCATCGGTTTATTTTAGTTGCCATCGATTACTTTACCAAATGGGTAGAAGTTGTCACATTCAAATCAGTTACCGAGAAAGCGGTGGTGGATTTCGTTCATTCCAACATCATATGTCGTTTTGGCATACCAAAAATAATTATTACAGATAATGCAATGAATCTCAACAGCCACTTGATGAAGGAAATTTGTGAGCAATTTAAAATTGTTCATCGTCATTCAACCCCTTATCGTCCCAAAGCAAATGGGGTTGTTGAAGCTGCGAATAAGAACATCAAGAAGATTCTTAGGAAAATGGTGCAAGGATCTAGACAGTGGCATGAGAAATTACCCTTCGCTCTCATGGGATATCGCACGACTGTTCGTACGTCAGTCGGTGCAACTCCTTACTTATTGGTTTATGGAACTGAGGCTGTCATACCTGCAGAAGTTGAAATCCCTTCTCTTCGAACCATTGTTGAAGCAGAAATCGAGGATACAAAATGGGTTAAATCGAAGTTAGAACAATTAGCACCGATAGAAGAAAAACGATTGACATCAATTTGCTTTTATCAATTATATCAGCAGAGGATGGCTCGGGCAGATAATAAGAAAGTACGCCCAAGGAATTTTGAAGTGGGTCAACTTGTTGTGAAACGTATCCTTCCCCACCAAGACGAAGCCAAGGGAAAGTTTGCTCCAAATTGGCAAGGCCCTGATGTTATTAAGCAAGTGCTATCCAAAGGAGCTTTGCAATTGGCGGATATGGAGGGAAAGGCAATTGACACAGTTGTCAATGCAGATTCAGTCAAGAGATACTACATTTAGCACTCCTTCTCATTTTTATGATGAGAAGATAAAAATGTATCCTCTTTTATCAAAAACACCACTGTTCTGGTGCCTTTTTTCAAAATAGAAAAAAAATTAAAAAAAATGAAAAAAAAAATTAAAAAAAAAACACGAAAAGTTCATTGAACTACGTTTGACCTGATTCCTAAAAGGATACGTAGGCAGCCCTTCATTAGGGTTCGGTCTAATCACTCAATAAAAAGATAATCATGTTCTTCAGTTCTCTAAAGGTAGAGACATTATGTTAGCGAACTATGGAGAAAATGAAGAAGAGAGTGTTGTGAAAACCCTTTACGGGCACTATAAGATGATGGTTTGGTGAAAAATCATGAAAGGTGTTACTGATCGAATGATGACATTTTGTCTGGACATGAGCGCATTCATGATAAAAGTCAAGCTTAGACTGAAAGGTGCAACATTGTTTCCTGAGATTCAAACAACTCGAAAAGATCAAACGTTGGGTCCAATTGCATGTCATGTTTCAAAGTTGTCACGTACTTTCAGATAAGATTCTTTTCACTCATTTAAACATTTTCTTATTTATCTTCTACTTCTAAAGACACAATTTTTCCTTCATAACCCTTTCCTTCGTGTCATATCTGCTTGTGTTTCTTTGATCTTTTTTTATTTTTCTTTCTCAGCATCAACTCGTGTAAAGTGAGAAAATAAAATTAAATCGGCAAAATTGACTACGGTATTTCCAGTTGAATGTTGGGAACATGCACCATATTGGCTAGGGCTGTGAACCTATCGAGAAAATAAATACCATAAATCGATACCGAGTGAAAATATATAAAGCAAAAGAGTCGCTTGGGAACGAATGAACCACACAACATGCACAAAATGGTGATGAGTTAGAATGTCCATGAAAAGTGTTTCAAGGAAAGATAACGACTGTTTTTGAAACATCTACAAGAAATTCGCACAATCATCAGTGGGATGAATCTTCCAAACGGGGCGGATCCAGAAGTCAAGCTTTACAAGATATTCAAAGTCACGAACCAACCACCATGTAGGAAAATTAACAATACATTTCTTTGACTTAAACCAGGTATAAGGCAGAATCGTGTAAATAGTTTGCGAGAGACAAACACCGCGATGGTAAGTTCTTTAATCTTTACTTTCCATATAATATGCGTGATAAAATAATAATAACAATAAAGATGATTTTTTTTGAATCTGGGGCATTTTATTTTATTTTAATTTTGTTCAATGAACAAATAAAAATAAAATAAAATAACGATAATATTAATAATGATAAAATAAAATCATGTCTTCAGAGGACACAATAACCCCTGGATTGCATATAGGTCACAATAACCCCTATCATTTTTTCTTCACAGGGCACAATAACCCCTGGATTGCATATAGGGCACAATAACCCCTATCATTTTTTTTTCTTCACAGGGCACAATAACCCCTGGATTGCATATAGGCACAATAACCCCTATCATTTTTTTCTTCACAGGGCACAACAACCCCTGGATTGTATATAGGGCACAATAACCCCTATCATTTTTTTTCTTCACAGGACACAATAACCCCTGGATTGCATATAGGGCACAATAAACCCTATCATTTTTTTTCTTCACAGGGCACAATAACCCCTGGATTGAATATAGGGCACAATAACCCCTATCATTTTTTTTTCTTCACAGGGCACAATAACCCCTGGATTGCATATAGGGCACAATAACCCCTATCATTTTTTTCTTCACAGGGAACAATAACCCTTGGATTGCATATAGGGCATAATAACCCCTATCATTTTTTATGTTTTCACATGACACAATAACCCATGGTTGCATATAGGGCACAATAGCCCCTATCATCATTTTTATGTCTTCACAGGGCACAATAACCCGTGGATTGCATATAGGGCACAATAACCCCTATCATTTTTCTTCACAAGGCACAATAACCCCTGGTTGCATATAGGGCACAATAACCCCTATTTTATTTTTCATGTTTTCACAAGGCACAATAACCCCTGATTGCAATTTGGGTACAAAACTCCCTTTTGTCTTTTTTTTTACATTCTGTAATAGGCTATAAAAACATTATTTTTATTATTAGTATAGACTTTTATAGCTTTCATCAATAACTCACAAAATTTCCTAGTGCAAACTAGGTAGAAAATTTTGTTTTGTGTGCAGATTTCTACATAGTACACAAATTTGCAGTTCAAAAATAATAGAATTCATCTTTTCAAGAAAATAAGTTTTCAAGAATATCATGCGGAAGGACGTCAGTAGCTGAAGTCAAGTCATGAAGTTTCAAGTCTTAAACTCAGAAGTCCAGAGCAAAGTTTGGAATAGATGAACCTACTCAAAGAGGGTGAAGTGATATCTGAGAATCCAAAATGAAGACTTAGCACTATCGAAATAGATAGGATTTCATATCTTTCCTTCTGCATCTTGTTTTTTTATATAGTAGCTGGAGCTACGAACCGGAATCTCGACAAAACCTCACTCGACTACCTAACTCATTGGAACTACGCCTGACTCCTTATCATCTAAACATAGGATAGGTAGTTTTTAAAAGTTAGGACACAGTCAAACCTCTTCTCTACTATAAATTTTTCGCATAAATATTTTAGTAAAAAATAGTCACATTGTTCACGTCTTTGCATGAAAACTCTTCATGTTTTCAAATAAAGAGGGGCATACTGTGAACACCTAATTTTTTACCAAAATATAAAGAGTCAAACACCATTTTTTTAAAAAAGGGTTATATATAAAATAAATAAATAAATTGTGTGAATTACTTTAATGATAAAAATTATGAATTTATGGTATTTGTTTTAAATCTTCATCTTTTAATTAGTTTAAAAATAATGGTAGAAGAAGAAAATAAAGGGAGTCCTAAATATTCAAATTACCTTCCTCTTATCCTAATTATTCCCAACTTTCTAACCTATTTTACTAAAAAATCTCATCCTATTTATTTTATTTATTTTTATTTTTCTTTCTTCTCTCTCTTTGACGTTAATTTCACTTTTTTTTTTATATTTTTTAATTTTCTATTATTATTATTTATTTATTTTATATCCATCCTTATCTCAACCCCAATTCCCTCAACAATATTTCAAATTAAATCCTAATCCAACTCTATTAGGTTTCTTTTAATTAGCATCAAACTCTCAGCCAAAATTATTATAAAAACACATTCAGTTGAGAAGAAAAAATAGACATAGACACAGATACACAGATACAAAGAAATACAGAGAGGAAAAGAAAGATATAGAGAAAAAATACAGAGAGAAATATAGAAGAAAAAAACGAGTTATTTCTTTTGAGAATTAGGTTAGAGTTAGAGATTTGATCGTGATTCTGAATTCGTGGATAACAACTCGCTTTTTTTGTATCAATTTTCGCAGCGAGGTAACTATAATTTCTCGCATGATCTAAATAATATTATTTCTATGAAAAGTTGATTTCAATAGCATGAAATGCTTCAAATCACATGTATTATATTGATTATTGCTACGTTGTTATTATTATTATGTTTTTTTAGATCGATTTTGCAATATTATATCGCATATTGAATTGTTGAATTTAACCATATTAATATATATTTCCGTCTATTTTCACTTTAGAAGATTTTATTGGATTTATTATAGACTTGTTAGATTAGGATATATAAATAATTAGTAATTTTTTTTATCTAAGTAGAATTGTAAATTTCATCTAGAGATTCATGATAAATTAGTGATAATTACTATTAATAATTATAATAAATTTTTTTAGAGAAATTGTATAAAGAAAACAAAAGAACAAAATAAAAAAATGAATAAAAAAAAACAACAAGAAAGCCTAAAACATAAAAAGAAAAAAAAACAACGAAAAAAAAAGAAAAGAAAAATATCAGATTTTTTTAAAAGGAAAACAGAAAATTAAAAAAAGAAAGAAAGAAAGAAAAGAAACGTGGAAAAAAGAAAATATCAAAATTAAAAAAAAAAAACAGAAGAGAAGCAGAATGAGAAAAAAAATATATAAAACAAAAAAAAATGAATGAAGAAAAAAAAGTAACAAAAATTATTTTTTAAAAAAAAGAAGGAGAAGAAGACAAAAATTATAAAATAATAATATAATAAAAATAATGATAAAATAAAATAATAAAAACAAAAGAAAAAGAAGCAGACTTACAGAAGGAATATATATATATATATATATATATATATATATATAAAAATCTAAAATAAAATAAGAAACAAAAAAAAGCAGATTTTCCCAAAAAAACAGAAACAGAATTTTTTTTAACAAAAACGTGCAGAAAAAAAAACGTGAAAAAAAAAATAAAAAAAAACAAACAGAAAAACGTAAAAAAAATAAAAAGATATAAAAGCATAAAAAAAATTAATTAAAAAAAGGAAAATTAAAAAATGAAAAATACAAATATAAATTTTTTTTTTAAAAAAATGAAGAAAGACCATTTAAAATAAATAAATCAATTTAAAATAAGTTTAAAATAAATCTGAAAATAAATAACAATTTTATTATTAAGTTAAATAATACTGTGTCCAAAAATTAAGTTAAGTCATATTAAAAGTCAATAAAGCGACCGTGCTAGAACCACGGGATTCGAGGGGTGCCTAACACCTTCCCCTCGGTCAACAGAATTCCTTACCCGAATTTCTACTTCGCAGACCAATAAAATAGAGTCAAATTTCCTTTTGATTAGGGATTTAAATAAGGTGACTTGGAACACAAAAATTCAATTCCAAGTGGCGACTCTGAATAATAATTATCCCTTTTCAAAACGTCACTTTAATTGGAAAAACTCTTTTTCTTTTCAAAAAATAAAAATCAAATAATATCTTGAGAAAAAAAAAGGGCTGTGACAGCATTATCGAAAAATCATAACACAATATTTTAACTAATAATAACACAATTATTATCTATTGCAGTTCTTCGAATTACAAAATTTTTTTAAAAAGCATCGGTGAAATATATAATCAATAACAACGTAGTAATTAGCCATTCTTTAATTTTATGTGGTACAATTAGGCGTGTACATGGCCGGATTGGTTCAGATTTTTCAAATATCGAATCAAACTATTT